TAGGCGGGTGGGGAAGCGCTGGGATGGGTTCCCTAGGGAGGGGGTGGAATCTCCATCCCTGGAGGTTTTGAAGTCCTGACTTGACAAAGCCCTGGCTGGGATGACTGAGTTGGTTGGTCCTGCCTTGGGGAGGGGGCTGGACTCGCTGCCCTGAGGTCTCTTCCAGCCCTGGGATTCGATGATTCTAACACCCTTTAACTGGGGTTGGGGGAGGAAACTGTCGCTTGGCATGTGTCTCCTTGGCTGGTTTTTGCAGGCGGCACTCCAGAGCCGCGTTCTGTTTGCCTCACAGGTGCTTTGGTTCTCCATGAAATCCTCTGTCTGCAGCCACCGGTAAGGGGCAATGGGGAAGGATTATAACAGAGCTTGTCGACTTTGGGGTCCAGAGACAGCTGCAGAAAAAGCCCATCTGGGGGAAACTCGGCAGATTCGTATCCTCTTTATTTTCATCCTGGTGTTGACAGTATTTAGGGGAGACTGAGTGGTCCCCAAAAGTGATCAGCACCAGCGAGAGCCAGGCAAAATAAGAGGGAGACGCCAGTTTCCTACACACAAATCGGCCGGCACACCTGCAGCCTTTCCCGGCTCTCCGAGCTCTGTGCTTCCCACGCCCGCAACTCCGCCAGCGCTACCGTATCCCTCGGCACTGACTCATCATTCCCGTCAGAAACACTCCCTCTGCAATGCCTGGACTCCTCGGGGGAAAACAAGCCTATTCTGTTTACAAACCTTCATCCTCTCCGTGACCACAGAGACTGAGGGAGGCTGGGGGGGTGGGGGGGAGGTGTCTGGCATCTCCAGGCCAGAAAAGGACTCGGGAGTCAAATGGGAACCAGAAGTTTCACACGCTGCGGCCCTTCTCTTGACTATTTCTCCCTGCCTTCGTGTTGGATATCTCTTTCATTGCCGCAGCCAGTGATGGCTGGGTGGTCCCCCAAGCCTTGATGAGGCTGGGAGCAGTCAGCCCAGACAGGGCTCTCAGACTTGGGCTACGTCATGCTATTTCCATACACACAGCAGTGGGAAACCCTCAGCTCCGAGCATGATGTCAGAACCAGGGGAATAACACGCAAGGACAGGGCTGGAGCGCCGGGATCAGCTTATGGAGGTTGTGAGTCTGCTCCCAAAGGGTCACTGACTCATTCCCTGCCCTCTGAACTCCCTTCTGAGTCTGCCTCGCCAGAGATGTTTCAGTCATGCAGCTAGGAGACAAACCAAATAGGCATGTGGGTGTGCTAGAATAAAACAACACCGGTACTGCGTGCCCCATTTGAAGCGGAGTCACAGCTTCTGCAGAGCCCTGCGCGGATACAAAACGTATGTCTGTATTCACACCCACATCCGCAAAAACGAGCCATGGATGCCCGCATCCATATTAGCAGATAGAAAGCAGATATCTGCAAATGTGCAGGGTGCTAGGTACCAAATTTGCATCCACAGCCAGACCTGCAAAAACGAGCCCCAGATATCTGCAGATTTGCAGGGCTCTGTGTGTGTTTGAGCTGGGCTTTGGGTTTTTTCAATCTCTTTCTATAAAAACGAGTCTCATGGCACCTTAAAGCTTAAAAATTATTTGGACTAGTGAGTTGTAGCTCACAAAAGCTTATGCCCTCATTCATTCGTTAGTCTTTCAAGTGCCACCGGTCTCCTCGCTGTTTTTGCTGAAACACGGCTACTCCTCTGAAAACACTCTCTAACTACTCATTTTCCCTTTGGGTTTACTATTTACTTGTGTTTCATCCTTTGCCAACATTTTGAAAACATTAAAAAAAAAAAAGAAATCTGTCAGGATCGATTGAAACCAGGGAGAATTGGTGGGGGGAAAATGATCGTTTTTTTCTGTCAAAAATTTGAAATTCAGATGATTTTTTGTTTGGGTGGAAATCTCAAAATTTGAACCATTTCAACCAGCAGGGTCATGGAGTTAAGGCCTTTTGGGGTCAAAAAGGCTCAACTCTTGCGCTCGCTGGGGGGGCCTTGCTGTACTTTGCTTCGCTTGCTGTAAAGGGGGGCATAATCATCCCCATTTTCCAACTCTTTGTCTGCCTCATCTATTTAGACTGCAAACTCTTTAAGGCAGGCCCTGGCTTATACATATGTACCGCACCTAGTGCCCTCACTTGGGCTCTTGAATGCTGTTGGAATACCAGTAATAATACGAATGTATCAGGGCAGGCTAGTATATCTGGCTTCTATGTTGTCCTTTTCCCCTTGATCCTTAGGCATCATTAAAGAGAATAAGCCAGAATATCTTATTGCCTCTATATAAATCCATGGCACGCCCACATCCTGAATACTGCGTACAGATGTGGTCGCCTCATCTCCAAAAAGATATCTTGGCACTGGAAAAGGTTCAGAAAAAGGCAGCAAAAATGATTAAGGGTTTGGAACAGGTCCCATATGAAGAGAGATTAAAATGACGTGGACTTTTCAGCATAACACAGAGGAGACAAAGGGGTAATGTGACAGAGGTTTATAAAATTGTGGACTGATGAGAAAGTGAATGTGGACTTTTCAGCATAACAAAGAGGAGACTAAGGGGTAATGTGACAAGAGGTTTATAAAATTGTGGACTGATGAGAAAGTGAATAAGGAAAAGTTATTTACTTGTTCCCATAACATAAGAACTCAGGGTCACCAAGGGCGTGTCTAGACGACAGGGTTTTGTCGACAAAAGTGGACTTTTGTCGACAAAACTATACCCGCATCTACACTACCGCCGAGTTCTGTCAAAATAACGTCGACAGAACTCGGCAGTTTTGTCAATGGCGGTAAACCTCATTCTACGAGGAATAACGCCTTTTGTCGACAGAGTTCTGTCCACAGAAGGCGTTATTGCATCTACACTGCCCTTTGCGTCTACACTCCCATGTCGACAAAGCAGCTTGCTTTGTCGACAGAACTGGATGTCGTCTAGACGCTCTTTGTCGACAGAAGCTTTGTCAACAGTATCTGTCGACAAAAGCCTGAAGTCTAGACATACCCCACAGGAACTTAATAGGTCACAGGTTTAAAAGAAACAAAAGGAAGTATTTCTTCACATGGTGCATAGTCAACCTGTGGAACTCCTTGCCAGAGGATGTTGTGAAGGCTAGGACTTTAACAGGGTTCAAAAAAGAACCAGGTAAATTCATGGAGGTTAGGTCCATCAATATAGCCAGGGTGGGTAGGAATTGTGTCTCTAGCTGCTGCTTGTCAGAGGCTGAGAATTGGTGACAGTGGATAGATCACTGGATGATTCCCTGTTCCATTCATTCTCTCTGGGGCATCTGGCATTGGCCACTGTCGGCAGACAGGACACTGGGGTAGATGGACCTTCCTTCATCTGACCCAGTCTGGCCGTTCTTATCCCAGCAGCCAGGTGTTCTGCATCTCCCCTGCCCCCACCTTGGATGCCGAGCTGCCAGTGAGCCTTACCTGGACACCTGTAGAGTTTGCGCGCCTGGTCGATGTCCCCTTTGCTCAACCGAGTGCGCTGGCCGATGTGGGGCACCACCCCGTTCACACTGTATTTGGGCTTGATGGTGTCAAGGAAAACCCCCCTGGAACAAGAGCAGAGAATGGATGATGCCAGCCACTCAGGTCCCTCCATGGCAAAACAGCACCCGGGGCAGAATGTTACATTTCGTGGGCTCCACCCAGGGCTCCCCTGCGCCTCAAAGTGGAAGCAGAGGGAGGAAGGTCCTTGCCCCCCTCTCTGAGTCTCTGCTGCACCCCCAGGCTCAATCTGAGACCTAAGTGAGACTCGGCGGGCCTGGCTCAGCCGTTCCAGCGAGTCCCAGTGTGCTTGTGGTTTGAGTGCTCAAACCGTGCTCACGGCTCCTGGGGAGATGCTGGAGTCAGCGGGGTTCAAATGCTGCCCGGAGGACTGGCAGAACACCCCCAGCTGGCGGCATGTGTTTCTGCTGGTGGTGTACATCTGCACATGCCTCGGTGCACATAAAATTTATTCCGCACATGGACGGAAAAATTAGAGGGAACATGGGTGGGGTTACCCCAGAAATGAACAGGGCCACACAGTTAAAGAAGGTGCCACAAAAATTCAGCACAATTATTTCCTGGAATGACTGGCAGAGCGAAGGGAGAGGAAGTATATGTCACCCTTGCGGATTGGAAGGAAAAGCATTCAGTAAGGACAGAAAAGCAGGACTCTTATCACAGAATCATACAGTAACGTCCCCAGAGACAGCCGGGACACCACACTAGCACTGTTACTATATGGCTATGTCTACACTGCAGGCTTCTTGTGCAAGAATTGTTTTTGCACAAGAGTTATTGTGCAAAAGGTCTTGCACGAGAGCACATCCACACTACCATGTGCTTTTACGCAAGAGCGCCCATGGCAGTGTGGACGCTCTATTGTGCAAGAAACCTCTGACGGCCATTTTAGCCATTGAGGTTTCTTGCGCAAGAAACCCCTGTTGCCCGTCCACACTGCCTTCTTGTGCAAGAGCTCTTGTGCAGGAGGGCTTATTCCTTGTGGGGAGAGGAAATTCTCTTGCGCAAGAAGCCCTCTGTTCTGACGTCTTACTGTACATTTACTTGCACAAGAAGGCACATGCAGTGTAGACACGTCGCAAGTTTTGACGCAAGAACGGTGTTCTTGTGCGAAAAGCCTGCAGTGTAGACATAGCCTATTAGTATTAGTAGTGCAGTATCACAAGGAGCACTGCATGTGAGAACTAGGATGAATTAACATATGAGTATGAGATGCGATAACAGCAGCATTAATACTCGTATCAAAAGTATTGAAACCTATTAGAAATGTTAAGTGGCATTACAGGTTGAACCTCTCTAATTCGGAACTCTCTGGTTTGGCTCCCTCCATGGTCCGGCATGAGTTTAGTGAGCCGGATTCCACTTATCATGGATGTGGCCAAGTTTCCCGCGGTCCCATAAAGTGTGTTTACAGCCACCAGGCCTGGCTCTCTGTGTGCTGTGCTGTTTAAGCTCTCATTTACCCCTCAATGTATGCTAAGAGCCCAGCAAGCAGTGGCAGTGTTGATAATGCTCCCATGGGTCGGTAAATTCTCTGGTTGGGCCCAAGGGTGCCGGACTAGAGAGGTTCAAACCTGTACTACATCTGTAGTACCAATACTAGCAGGAGAGACAAGGAGTCCTGTGGCACCTTATAGACTAAGGGTATGTCTACACTAGCTCGCTAATTTGAGCTAGGTAGGCAAATCAGGGAACCGGAGTTGCAAATGAAGCCTGGGATTTAAATATCCCGGGCTTTATTTGCATGTTCCCATCCAGCCGTCATTTTTAAATCCCCCTTAGTCCGAACGAACTGCTCGCGGCTACACGCAGCAGTTTAAAGTTAATCCAAACTAAGTCCTTAGTTCGGATTAACTGTTACTCCTCATTCCACTAGTGTAGACATACCCCAACAGATTTATTGGAGCATAAGCTTTTGTGGGCAAAGCCCCACTTCGTCAGATGCATGTAGTGGAAATTCCAGGGGCAGGTATAAATATACAGGCATAAGAAAAGAGTACCAATCAAGAGTGAGGCGGGAGATAACATGGCTACCCCTCTAATACTAACAGGAATGTTACTAGCTGTTTTTCTACAACTGTTCTACAACTATTGCTAGTTGTATTGTTGCAACAGTGTTGTGATAGCTCTGCCGAGCTGTGTGTTTTCTTAGCATTGCTGCAGCCAGCAGTATTGTTGGTTATTGCTGCAGCCAGCAGTACTGTTGGTTATCAGCCAGAGGGAAGTTTGCTTTGATCCCAGAACCTTGATGGAGCCGGGGCGGCAGCTTGGGACCAACGTTCCGGGGGAGCTGCGCCACTTTGCATGCGGGCGGGAGGCAGCAACAAATCCACGGATTTAAATCAGCCATCCCGATTGTGTGCGGAAGGGTGCCGACGGGAGGGGACTGAAACTGGAGCAGAGAAGAGCAGCTGCACTCTGAGCTCTGCGCGGCTAGGGGACTGGTCATCTGGCCTGCCTTGTGGGGAGCGTATCAAAGCAGACGAACGGGAACGGTGTAATATGCAGGCTGGCTTCCTCCCCTGGGGCGCAGGGTGGGCGTCAGACACCGCGCCCTGGAGAGGGTGGCAGGGCTGTAAAATTCCAGGCGAGATCAGCCCTGTTCCAGGGGAACAGGGGCAAGCTGCTAATACCAGCTCACGGGGCCCCTGTAATGAACGTGCACCTTGTATACATGACGGAGAGTGAGTCGACCAGGCCGGAAGCCCGCACCGGTGGAAGAACAGGACTGCATGCAGCCGGTGGGGGGAGAGGGGCACATAGCTCAGGCCTGAGGGTGTCCTCTGCCAGTCAGAGATTGGGACTTGGGGTGCAGTGGGAGCAGCAAGGCTAATCTTTCAATTAGTACGGGTCTCGGGAGGGGACTGCGGTCTAGTGGTTAGAGCAGAAGAGGTTCAGAGTGAGGACTCTTAGATATTATTTTAGCTCTGGGAGGGGAGTGGGGTCTAGTGGTTAGAGCAGAAGAGGTTCAGAGTGAGGACTCTTAGATATTATTTTAGCTCTGGGAGGGGAGTGGGGTCTAGTGGTTAGAGCAAAAGAGGTTCAGAGTGAGGACTCTTGGATATTATTTTAGCTCTGGGAGGGGAGTGGGGTCTAGTGGTTAGAGCAGAGGAGGTTTGAAGTGAGGACTCCTGGGTATTATCTTAGCTCTGGGAGGGACCTGGGGCCTAGTGGTAGAGCAGAGGAGGTTTGAAGTGAGGACTGCTGGGTATTGGCTTAGCTCTGGGGGCCGGGGGACTGGGGGCTAGTAGTGAGAGCAGAGGAGGTCCTGGCTAACACGGACCGGATGGAACATGTGCCTTTGGAGTGACCCCATGCATCACCCTGACCAGCCAGCAGCAGCTGTGCAGAGCAGGGCAGCTGTCCATGGCCTTTGGGTGTTTCACCACCCAACACGAAAACACCGACATGTAAACAAAAGTGCAGCGCTGTCACGGAAACGCAGCCCCCAGCGGGCAGGGTGGCCCTCCAGGGCCGGTGGTCTCTGTCCTCACCAGAGACCGAAACCACAGGGGAGGGGACGCATTATCCCACCCACTCGGAGCTCAGAGGGGGTCAGGGAAGAGGTTTCCCTCCCCATCCCCTAGGGAAATTCCACCGGGGCCTGGGATGCCCACGGTATCTCCACCAGCGAAGGCAGCATCTTCCCCACAGACACATGGTCCCAAGGGGCCAGGCTCCCCCCCCAGGGCATCTCGCGAGGCCCAAACCTAAGAGCTGAGCTCCCCCAAGTCCCAATACGCCAGTGCGCCTGGTCCTCCTGCCAGGGAGACCCCGCACTGGCCCATCCTCCTCGCAGTGTCTGGGTGTCTCTTTCTTGCCTCTTCTCACAAGCCAGCTCAACAGGCAGCAAATTCCACGGTGCCGGCCGGGTGTGTGTAGGGTTGCTAGGTGCCCGGTATTCTACCAGACGGTCCGGTATTTGCACTTTGTCCGGTAAAAAAAAAAATCGGAAAATACCGGACACGTGCAATGTGCGGTATTCTCTGATTTTTCCGACTGCGCACCGGATGGAAGCCTGGCGTGGGCGGGGGCAGCGGCTGGAAGGCGGGGCCACCATCGGCGCTGGGAGCCTGTGATTGCGCAGAAGCCTGGCGGAGGCGGGGGGAGTGGCTGGGACTCCCCTGCCACTGCCTTCTGAATGCAACCACAGGCTCCCAGCTGGGAGGAGGGGCTGCGATTGGCGCTGGGAGGGCGTGTCAGAACGGGGGGGGGGGTGTGTGTGTGTGTGTGTGTGTCTGCGTTCCTTTTTTTTTTTTTTGCGCTCGACAAAAATACCGCGTGTCTGGTATTTTTTGGGAGACCATCTGGCGACCCGAGGTGTGTGGGAGGGAGGAAATGAAACAGGGGGAGAGAAAACGAGTGAGAACGTGTGTGGAAGAGGAACCGAGGGCTGGTCTGCAGAGGGGACCCACCTCAGCCCCGCTACGTCTCTGGGGGGCCGGGAGGGGGTGTGTGTGAAAAACCCAGACCTCGGAGAGCTCGGGCTTCACGGACCTAACTCTTGGGGCAGGCGGCGCTAGGCTGAAGGAAGCGTTCTCCAGTGACTTAGCTACAGCCTCGGGGAGGTACATTCACAGAACTGTCGTCACCTCTCCGAGAGGCCGGCTTGATTACGCCCCTCAGGGCTTTTTCACACCCAGACCAGGGTCACTAAACCAGCCTCCTTCTCCAGAGCAGGCCCGGAGCTCTGCAGCTGTGTAGACGCACCCGGAGAGCGGGAGAAGGGAAGGGACGGAGAGCAAGGGGAATGGAAGAAAATGGAAAAGCACAAGAAAGGGAGATGCTGTGCCAGCAGCACTAGCTCCCCGGCTCGGGTCGGGAATCTGTTGCTAATTAATGGAATCTTCCCCCGCTCCTGTTACCATATGGACGTGTTTAAATCTGGAAGGGGAGCACGGGGCGGGGGGAGGGGCAGGTTTATTTCTCTATAGTTTCCATCCCTGTCCTCGTGAGCGATCTGCAGGCGCGCTTCCCTGGCCCCGCGCTGTCATTCTTACACACTTCACCCAGTTGGCAGGGACTCCCTTCTGGCTGCCAGGGCGAAGACGGGAGCAGCCACAGAATTCAAACGAGCAGCTGAGATATTCACCCCCCCCCACCC